GGTTATTAGTGATGTACTTCTTTGTTATGTGCACGAATTGCACTAACTTTTGACAAATGACAAGTCAGCCTATGACAGAGTGCGCTACATGCTTGGCTTATGTAAAAATTGCATATTGTTTTTGTTTTTTTTTGTTGAAATGCCATATCCAAAATGGCATGAGAATCCATAAAAAACGTTATTTTTATATAGGAGGATGGGGGGTGTTGTTAATGATTAGAGTTTAGATCTTTTGAACGCTTTTTTTATTGTAAATGATAAACCTAAGGTGTTGGGATCGTTAAGTGATACGTACCGACAAATTATATAATGGCTTTTACATCCTGTTTATAATTAGGGCAAAACTGGTTACGGTAGAATAAGTTAACGGTGTCCTTGTTCTTTTATTGTATCAGGGTTATTGCTTGTGTTATTTTTTCTAAATCATTTTAAGGCTAATTTTATTTGTACAAGAAGTGGTTCGCAAAATTTTATTAATGAATGTTTATTTTGTAATGGCTATTTTTTATAAAATAATCTCTCAGAATAAGAGATTATTTTGTGGTGGTAAATCGTGTTTTTTATAACTGCTATCTGATACAATGTTATTGAAAAGTAACTCCCTATTTTATGTATAATTAACTCCCCCCATCTTGTAAAAATTACAGTTAGACGAGAGAGTCCATCATACATAAAATAGGAAGTTAATTTTCAATCACACTGTATATTTGAGATTACTGAGTTTTCTATTTGAGAAGTGGTGAATTTTTGCTGGTGTTTTTTTTTATATGTTAAAGTAGTAAATAAGTATGGTAAAGTAAATTATAGTAAAATGTAAAGTTATATGGTAAAGTAGTAAAGCGCGGAAATGGGAGAAGACCCGCGCGTCTTTGTCACTGGAACAAGAAATTTGATATTTATGAACAGAACGATATCGAAGTGAACAATACAAATATAGAAGGATGCGCACTTATGTTCTTTAGATTTTATAAGGCGCGGCCCAACGATCTATTTGAACTCCTAGGAAAACTCGATCTATTTGGAAAAGATGCTGGAATAAACCAGAGCTTATACTGGGAGCAAACCGGATGGAAAACGAGTAAGATGTTGAGAAATCCAGGGACGGTGCGAGTAAGCAATAATGAAAACCATAAAGAAAATGTCGACGAAAATGTCAGCGAAAAGAAAATGGCGGTAAAAAGAAAATGGCAGCAAAAAGAAAATGGCGGCAAAAAGAAAATGGTGGCAAAAAGAAAGACTTAGAATCAGAATCAAAAAGCGACAACTGAAATTTCTTGGATACATAATGAGAAAGGAAGGCTTGGAGAACATGACCCACACAGTGATAGGGGAAGCCATCGGGTCACCTACGTGAGAGCTTGTGTGAATGGGGGCTAGAACAGGAAAGAGGTGGCTTGTATTTGGTAGTGTGAGAGAGAAAGAGAGAGAGAGAGAGAGAGAGAGAGGAAGAATATGCACGTTTTGTAATTTTTACGTTTTATATTATAGAATTTTTTCTCTTAAACTGGTTACCACTCAAGGCTGGAGAACCATGTATACCCTGTTATTTTACATGTTAGTTAACTCAGAAGTAGAAGTAGTTAAATATTGAAGTGTTAGAAAAGTCTCCAAAACATACGCATTTTAAAAGTAAATAAAATGTCTTCTATTTTGTAAAAGGAATTAGGTCAAAAACCTAATTCGATGAGATTTTATGATCTTTTGTTACACAAAATGGGGCCATAAAATCAAGGCTTACATAAAAAATGATTTATTGCGGGGGTCTAATGGTCTCTAGATCCAGATATAATCAAGATTTATAATGGAAATCTTTTTTGATTTGTCTCTATACTATTTTTACATGAGAATCCGAGAAATCAATGAGAAAAAAATGGTGTTTGTCAGTTCTTTCGTCCTTTTTATGATGGAATTTAACGAAATTTGGCGCAAATTGTGCAGCAGAGGAAACAAAAAAACAGCAAATTGTGCAGCAGATGAAACAAAAAAAATTTACTAAAGGGAATTAAGTGAAGCTGTGATATCCAAACGTGGAATTAAGACAATGTCCCTCCGGTGGACGACATAAAGGGTTCGATTCGAAATTCCAGCGTATATCACCTGAAGATGGACAGTTCATACAGTGGCTGAAACGTCATGCATCTGACAATAAAGATGAAGCCAATAGTCCGAACTATGTAAATACTCTGTTTGCATTATAGGTGGCACAGATTACATTCTGTGTTACAAGAGACAAAAAGATAATGCTTTTATAGGTTTTCCATTGAGCGCATAGCTGGAGACACTTAGGTGCTATATCAGCAGTTAATTGAGGAGAATAAAACACCAGTAAGGAAAGATGGTTTTGATACACGAAAAGGACTGACAAAGAAGCCGCTATTAAGTCCTAATCAGAAATGTATCACAATCAGTTACAGTTGGAACAATGTCAGAACATTGTTCACGAAAGTTCTAAGTCATTTTCACATTGATCACAGGAATTGGGTGGGAACGTCAGGGCGTGATGGTGAATCAGTTCATCGAGGAAGAGGGTGTGTTCAAAGCTTGTGAGGAAATAACCCTGGTCTTTTACTTGATCAATGTTGCAAAGTAGGTATTTCCGAAAACAGACCACAAAGACGACGCTTTTCTGAAGTATTGGTAGAATCAATAGATGAACCTCGATACAAGAATCCAGTTTTAGTATTTCATCAACCACTTATTATCATTTAGGTAACAAAAGCAATTCAGTATGAAATCCTAAAATGTTTTCGTCCTGTTGAAAAGTATGTTTATTTCTCTCTCTCTCTCTCTCTCTCAAACTCTCCCTCGCTCTCACTCTATCTCTCTCACTTACTCCCTTTCTCTCTCTCTCTCACTCTCTGTTTTTCTCTCACTCACTTTTTCACTCTCTCTCTCTCTCTCTCTCTATTTCTTTTTTGCGTTTCTCACACTCTATTTCTGTCCCACTTTTTCTCCCTCTCCCCACTTTTCTCTCTCTCGCTTTTAGCAATTCTTCTTCTTTCCCTCGATTTCTGTTTTTGTTTTTTCCCTACATTTTTCTTTATTTTTTTCTCTTTCACTACCTTCTATCTCTCTCTCTCTCTCTTTCTCTCTCTCTTTCTCTCTCGATTTTTCTCTTTCTCTTTTTTCTCTCAATTCTTCTCTCTCTTTATTTTTATTTATTTTTCGTTCGATATTTTTCTCCCCCGTTTCTCATTTTCTCTTTCTTTCGCTCTCTTTCTCTCTATTGCTTTTTCATTTCTATCCCTATCTTTAGTGCTCTTCCAATCTTTTTCTCTCTCTCTTTTTCTTTACTTCTCTCTCCTTCTCTACTTTTTTCTCTTTCGAGGTGATTTGTCTTCTCTCTATCTCTATCACTTTCTCTCTTTCTTTCTCTTTTTTTCTCTGTCTCTCTTTTTTTCTCTTTCTCTCGCCTCTTTCATATTTGTTTCTCTCTGGTCCTTTTTCTCTCTAACTCTCCTATCGCTCTCTCTCTCTCTCTCTCTCTCTCTCTCTGGTAAGGATCGGGTACCATGTTATGTTCTGCAGTCAGAAAATGTCTCTTTTAAATCAACTGAATCAATTTTGAATCATAATTTGATAAACATCGAGAAACTTGCCTAGTGTCAAAAGACGTTTTTTTCCCATGACATTTTAACTACCTTCACGCTTCAACAATGTTTATTGTTTTAAAAAAGCGATGATAAGAATTGAATTAAAACCTAAACACAAAGTGAAAGTGAATTTATACATTTATTGTTATTGAGAATTGACAATAAAATATTAAACTATATTTATTTATTAGTGTGTTGTGGTGTTTTCTAGTCTGTCACGTAGAAGTTGAGATTTACTTGCAACTGAGTCAGGTTGTGACACAAGGTCAGTTTTTAACGTGGAGACCCGAGTGTTTTCACTCGGGCCGCTGGTCTAAGCTGGTCTTAGCTGGTCATAGCTTGTCCAAACTGGTCATAGCTGGTCTTGGTTTGTCCAAGCTGGTCCAAACTGGTCAGAGCTGGTCCAAGCTAGTCATAGCCGGGATACCACCAGCACAGGGACGGATCCCTGTGACCGGCGAGTATCCGAATGTGTACACCCCTCCAAGGAGGAATTTACCTCTGTCACGTAGAAGTTTTTTCACCCGCTAAGTGGCGACTAACTTTTTTTAGTAGTTGCGGGACTCTATGCAAAATAGTTCATTTTGCCTATGTCACTACAGATTGTCTATTTACAAGAATGATTTTATATTTACAACATTCTAAAAACTAATGCAATGCAATATTTATCATTTACCAATTTATAAAGAAATGAATGTGAAAACAATTTTTTATTCAAACATTTACTAAATTACTTAATATGTAAACCAACTATAAGGAAATCCTTATTATTTATCTCTATCTATAAAAGGCAGGATTTGTGTGTAACGAATGCACGGCCGCAATTTTCGACGGATTTGCACCAAAATTTACATGCACATGCCCCAAGTTAGCGGAAAGGCCAAGACCGACTTTGCATTTTCCAACTCCCATCGATAGTGGAAATAATCGATTTTTTCATGCTTCTACGGCAGTTTTCATGTAGTTTGAGGCCATTTTGTACAGGCCAGAGTGAGAGCCTATAGCTGTCTGCCACGAATAAACAGGAAGATTCTATTGGCCAGCGTGAGAGCCAACAGCTGACTGATATGAATGTTAAATAGCATGCTAGCATGCAAAAAAATCGATAGCTGCATTCGTCACAAGTGGGAAAAATTTAAATCTGCATGGCACTTTACTCCAATTGGCTCATTCGCTTGCTTAAACTCAACGTTGATTCTGATTCCGCAGAACTGGGTTGGGTGTGAAAAAGTATTTGTTATTAACATTCTTTTTTTTCATTCGGTTTTTCCAGTTACGAGTCCTTTTTTAAACTGATCGTTTTGTGTTCATTTTGTTTAGTTCTTTTTTCGTAACAGAATATAATCTTTAGTATAGAGCTTAGAAAAATTCGCAGTGTGAGATAGGAAAGAAGTAAGGCATGTAGCAACATCAGCACGGTAAAGGGCACTCCTTTAAAGGCAAAGAAGGGCAAAAATATTTGAAGTCAAGTGATAGCGATTGCTGTATGAGTCGTACGATTTTTGAATCAAGCACGGGCAACACCGGGCCATGCTGCTAGTCATTTCATAAATTTTGAAGCAATTGGTAATAAGCCGATGTTTTATCAATAAAACAATAAACAAAGAATGAAAGTAGTTAAAATAGCGAGTCATGAAAAAAAAACGCCCTTTTCAAACACCGTCTTATTTCGTGCACGTTTATACATGTTTAGTCATAATTATCCATGAGTCAGATTAAAGGACAATCTTCACGGAAGTGTGCAACATTCAGTTGAATTAATAATTTTAAATGATGGTTATGGCCTGGTTATAAAGGGTTGGAAGCAAATAACAAAGTTATGCACAGCTAACTACAATTTCTATATGAAAAAAAAAAAAAACTCAGATGCAATTAATAAGTTACTGAAACGTTAAAAGGCCATCTATTGTACATAAAATAATCACATGTCATCCTCCCAAATACTGCACAGCATGTGAAGCTGAAGATCATCCAATTCATTCTCATGCAATCTCATCCACCAAATTACATTTTTGGGCATCTTTATTATTGACTAGCAGTAGACCCCGGCGTTGCCCGGGGATGTAACAGTAAGAGAGCAAGTATCGACCATCATAAAGACTGAAAAATAAAATTGACAAAGATTATTGTTTAAGGTTGACGGACACGCATGTCTTAATTAGTTTTTTTTTTTAGTTTTTTTTTTTTTTACGAATTGGTCAAACCCAAACTCAAACAAAAACATTGTTTTCAATCGTTATGAGTCTACCGATTGAATAGAATTTTATTATAAACAATTGTCTTGTAAATGAAATTTTTAAAGCATTCTGAATGTAAAAATAAAGAAAAAAGTGTACAAGACAATAAGAAACACTACCTGCCAAAAAAAAAGTGAAGTTTTGTTGAAATCGGTTGAAAAATGTAGGAAATCCGATCCCATATATAAACGAACACACACACACACACAGACACACACACACACACACAGACACACACACACACACACACACACAACCAACCAACCAACCTGGGTTTTATAATAAGTATAACTCGATTTGAGTTGCCCCCCTTTCATTAATGCCTCTTAATCGTGTTTTCAAATTGCTTTCGTGCAAACCAATTGTGTTTTTCCAATTTTTGGCGCTGTCAGAACCACCGCAAAGTAATTTTACGTAGTCCTGTGAAGTTTTGTTGAAATCGGTTGAAAAATGTAGGAAATCCGATCCAATATATAAACGAACAGACAGACACACACACACAATCTGGGTTTTATAACAAGTATGATTAGACTTGATGAGTTTATTTGTGATCATGTATGATTTTCCTTCTGGTTGTGTAGTTTTTATTAAAAGATTTCATTTGTAAATCTATTGGCTTGTATACCCTCTTCATTGTTTTGATTGCTAATTGGAAGACTACTCGATACCTAAGTTTCGAACTGGGTTCATTCAAGAAGAACAGGAAAAGATATGTTTTTATTTAAGATCACATTGATCTATAGTCAATTTTGTGAGTTTTACCCCCATTTTTCTGACTAAATATACTTTATAGATAGCCTTAACTATTAGTTTCCAGTGATACCAGGGATACATCATAATCTAAAGTGACTTTATACAAGTGCATCATTAATTATAAAATTATTACGCCCACCCCTTTTAAATCTTTTCTTCTCCTCTTACTATTTAAAACTGATTTTGTTTTCATGCTGCCTTATTGTGGGCATAAAATTACAGTGTTAGAATTTTCAAACGTTTTTTTTTCTAAAACTTTGCATTTTGTGTCCACGCTCTATTTCAAGGTAGACAATACCGGAAGTTATAAAGAGTGCTCTCATGTCTCTAACGTCATCTGCCAATCAAGTCCAGTTCTCAGCCTTCACGTGACGAAACTGTTCATAACAACGCATAGGTGTGTCTCTTGCATATGAAAACCAGATGGTTTGAGGAAGTGGGACTCGGTAGATGTGGTCGAATGCTCATCTTGGAGAAAGAAGACACTTCTACCGCTGCCTTGTGCCTATAGAAAGTTGTGGGAAAGGTTTATGGTAAAATATTCCCAAGTCGGAATCTTGGGGGCGGCCAGTAAGAGTGTTTTTTTGTTCTTTTAATCTTTTGTCCAGTAACTCCTGCAGCCGAATTATTTACCATGTGTAAGGATCTTCGTGACAATAAATCCTGACATCCAAGGTCGAGAGAATGGATCTGTTTTCGTGCTAAGGCCTTTTCAGTATAACATTTCACGCTCTGGTCATTCAGTTGTACATATTGGAAGAGTAATAGGTAAAGATGTCCAGTGAGTTGCAGTTGCAAACATAAATGTAAGCGACTCTTGGACAGATGTTTTTTCTCCTCTGTGTCCAGGACAGAAGAGGGGTCTAGCAGCATCCAGGATGACTAGGTTAGGTCTTTTGAGAACAGCGCTACTTACGATGTAATCAGGAATGAACTTAGAATAATTGACCCAAACACTGACTGCCCTAGACCATCCGGACTGTCAACTGCGTCTGACTGATCACAGAAGCAAGTAATCAAAATAAAAAAATCAAAAGAAAATTTACTCCGTCTAGGAGTCTAAAACATTTTCACCTTAATGGAAAAAGAAGACGCAACAAGACCTGAAAGAGGAAAAGAACTTGCTCGCTACAGGATAGACATCGCAGCACTGAGTGAAAGTTTGTTGATGAAGGATGTCTCACTGAGCTTGTCAACTGTTACGCTTTCTGGAGAGGAGGAAGGGCCAGAATGAAGTCACGATTTCATTCTGGAGAGGAGGAAGGGCCAGAATGAAGTCACGATTTCATTCTGCAGACAAGCCGCGTTTTTATTTTGCAGAAAAAACAGTCTACTTAAATACGTGCGTCCACTGAATATAAAGTTCAAAGTAATGTTTGATTATAAATAAAAAACATTAATTCTTCAGGAATTGCTTGGTTTGCGTTTCAGATAGAAAAAAAATAACAGATATAGGCTTCGAGGAATCGCAAAGAGAAATTTTTAAAGGACAATGCACCAGCACACAAGTCATTAATTTCAATGGCTGCTGTGTGTGACAGTGGACTTGAACTGGTTGATCACTCTCCCTATTCTCCTGATTTGGCCCCATCTGTTCCCCAAAATGAATAAAAACATTTGGCTGGGAATCAGTATCGCAGTATAAGACATCATATCTACTGTTTCACCAACAAGATCCAGGCTTCTTTACTAATGGGATCTAAGAACTGCAACACAGATGAAAGAATTCTGTAGACCGCAATGCGCGGCGGGGCAGGGATCTATGTTAAAAAGTAGACTTCATTTAGTCACATTCCATGAAAGTATTTTGAACAGCTTATGAACTGTTCAGCCGAATCTCATACGTTTCCTGAAATTTTTAAATTCATTTTTGTTCCGATAATAATATTTTATTGTTTTCTTGGTTCCTTTTTTTTCACACACAAATAGATAATTGCCAGTGCTAGCTCCCGTCCATGTAATTTTGCTTCTACGATAATCTTAAACGCAACGGAGGTGGGGGGGGTGATGCTGATGCAACCCCGAGTCTGCTTCTGTGACACCGCTCTTTGCACAGTGGTTCTGTTAGTAATCATATATATGTCTCGGTATCTGAGGTCTCACACCGGTACGATAAGCCTGACTCAAGAAGTTATATTGCCTTGATTTCTGGGTAGACGAGACATGTACACTCAGTGTATCACGCCTGTATCTTATTTCCTGCATTATTTGTTCATTCATTAAGAGTGCTGGAGGTAAACATTTTTCTGATAGTGATCCAAAACTTTGAGTAACATCGAAGGAGTTATTCTATCAGCAGATGTATACTATCGGGATTATTGTACTGCTATTTTGTGAATGTGTTCTGAACCGTATATTAGTCTCTAGTGGGGCCTTTCGATGTCATGATGAAAGGCCTTTCGATGTCATGATGAATGGCCTTTCGATGCCATGATGAATGGCCTTTCGATGTCATGATGAAGGGCCTTTCGATGCCCTGAGGAAGGGCCTTTCGATGCCATGATGAATGGCCTTTCGATGTCATGATGAATGGCCTTTCGATACCCTGAGGAAGGGCCTTTCGATGCCATGATGAAGGGCCTTTCGATGCCATGAGGAAGGGCCTTTCGATGTCATGATGGCCTTTCGATGTCATGATGAAGGGCCTTTCGATGCCCTGAGGAAGGGCTTTTCGATGACATGATGAATAGCATTTCGATGCCCTGAGGAAGGGCCTTTCGATGCCATGATGAATGGCCTTTCGATGTCATGATGAAGGGGCTTTCGATGCCATGATAAATAGCCTTTCGATGCCCTGAGGAAGGGCCTTTCGATGCCATGATGAATGGCCTTTCGATGCCATGATGAAGGGCCTTTCGATGCCCTGAGGAAGGGACTTTCGATGCCATGATGAATGGCCTTTCGATGCCCTGAGGAAGGGCCCTTCGATGTCATGATGAAGGGCCTTTCGATGCCATGATGAATAGCCTTTCGATGCCCTGAGGAAGGGCCTTTCGATGTCATGATGAAGGGCTTTCGATGCCCTGAGGAAGGGCCTTTCGATGCCATGATGAATGGCCTTTCGATGCCCTGAGGAAGGGCCTTTCGATGTCATGATGGCCTTTCGATGCCATGATGAATAGCCTTTCGATGCCCTGAGGAAGGGCCTTTCAATGTCATGATGAATGGCCTTTCGATGTTCTGAGGAAGGGCCTTTCGATGCCATGATTAATAGCCTTTCGATGCCCTGAGGAAGGGCCTTTCGATGTCATGATGAAGGGCCTTTCGATGCCATGATGAAGGGCCTTTCGATGCCATGATGAATGGCCTTTCGATGCCCTGAGGAAGGGCCTTTCGATGCCATGATGATGGGCCTTTCGATGCCATGATCCAAATTATTGATGCATGCATCTACTGTCTTACGGCTTAGTCTTCTACCAGACGCACTGATATCTACATATGAATACAACTAAAAAGAAAAAATATCAAACCCAAAAACAAAAAATAAATCTAGACGCCAGGTTCACTATCTCCTGCACCAACGTGAGGGGTCTAAGTTCCAAATTTCCTGTGGTGGCGATCCATCTTCTTGACCGCAAACCTAACCTCATATTTCTGTCTGAAACTGATATTGTACCTCGATCCCGCTACAGAAGCTCGAAATGACGGGCCCTTAAACATGACCATCAAACTCTCCACTACCATCGACTTGACGCCACAATTAATTTTGCGCTTTATTTTCGCTGCTTGTGACAAGACACTCACGCCCATTTCAATTTATGTACCCCGCACCCGACACACAAAAAAATCCCTTAACCAAGAAAGGAGATTAAAGATCAGAATAAGAGCAGTGCGATTAAGTGTGGGATTAGCTTCGAATACATGTGTTAGGTTCTTTAGGGAACTGAGAGGATAATATTAACTTTTAACTTCGTATAAGTAAAAATATCTCCTATTAGAAGAAAATCAAGCAGAGAATTAAGACTACACATGAGTCACTAAAAGGAATGATGACCCGTTAGACCGTCAAATTCATTAAACGCACGAAGGGGAGAGAGGGAATGATACTGAAACTAATGATAATGCTAATCAAACGATACAATCCCATAATGCTCTTTAAGAAAAAGCTGCTCTGCCTGAACTCTCTTTTTAACGGAGAATTTTCCCGTGTTTTTTTCTTTTTTAATCATTTCGAATTCAGATTTGTCATTTTGCTACATTATTTTCCCACTAAGGCTAAAGAGAGAAATCTACAAATGCTATTTTATCCCTACCAAGTGGGAGTTAAATAGATTCATGCCTTTTCCAAGAGTATTAATGCAAAGTGAGCAGAAATTGTCTCAGACGGAATTTGGTCTCTGATCATCGATTCCATTTTTTCCTTCCCTTAACCGTTAATCAACTCACACCTCCCATACTAAGTTAAGATTATTTAAAAAATGCATAGATGTGAAAATGACTAACAAGCAAGTCGTTCTTGCTTGACACGACATACGAAACAAGTGGAACAGGCTACGAAGCGTCTATGGCGAACATTTATTCAATGTCAGTTTATGTGGCGCGTTCATGTCAAGAGTAATTAGACAGACACGGAAGTGGGGAATTGGGCCAAATGTCTTATTTGGTCATCTTTTTTCTTTGAACGCCTTTTGACATTTCCCACAAGTCAAATACCTTCGGCTTTGATCCACCGATGCTATACACTTGCGTTTATATTTCTAGGACATCATCTATCACACTTTATTTTGAAAATCATTATTATGCAAATTTTTACAATGAGATCCTTAGAATTTATTTATAAATATCGTCTGAGCTGATAATATTTACACTTTTAAAAATATTGAAAATAACTCGTTTAGTGGGTACCAGGTTTTATTTATACAAAACGAAACATGAAATTTTATTTATAAATTCAAAAGAGCCAGAGAAACATAACTTGAATGAAATATCCCATATTACTGAATAAATTATTTTATTATTTGACAGGTTAATATGGCCTCTGTGATATTCTATATCTTTCATCAGAACTTTAAACAATATTTTTAAGCTTGTCTAGTGTTTCCAATTTAAAATTAACTGCACTTTTTATTACTTTCCAGGGATCTTTGGTTGAATATAATTTCCCATTCCCCTATACATCAGTTTAAATGATGGGCAACAAGTTTTCTATCGGATTACCATCTGGAGAGGTAAGTGAGCTTTCAAATACTTTCGTGTTCTTGAACTTTTATTTGTCTTTTAACGACACACACACACACACACACACACACGCATATATATATATATATATATATATATATATATATATATATATATATATATATATATATATATATATATATATGAATGTCTAGAAATTTCATAGAAAATATAGGTCCCCGACAGGAAATCGGAATTCCCTGTCAGTTCCCCGGATCGATACACACTTAATGAAGGCCGGACTCTACAACTGCTGAAAAGTTGTGATAACAACAACAAAGATTTACACTATTTACATTGTTCGGACTGTTGTCGTCATCTTTGTTTTCATATTGACGTTTCGGCCATTGTACGCTCCGGCTTTCGTCAAGATCTGTCAATATTTCTGAGATGAGGTATTGTAACTATTTACAGAATTTGCATTTCTTCGGACTGTTGTCCTCATCCTTATTGTCATATTCACGACCTTTCTGCCGTTGTACGCTCCAGCCTTCTTCAGGTGATATAGGTCGGAATTTCGAACCGAACACTTTATTTAGACTCCCGGAGTAGATTTCCCCCAAGGACACATGGCCCAGTGAATAAAAGAGTTGGTTGAAGTAATCCATTGACTTGACCAAAACAGTTATGAGTTCAATACCTGATCACAACAGTGGTGAACAAAAACTTGGATAGTTGGGTTACTAAAGGGAAATAACTGAAACTGAGACATCTAGAAAAAGCATGGCACGTGGAACTAGAACAATATAACCCGAAATAAATAGACGAAACAAATTGTTCGGTTCGAAATTCCAAACGAATAAGACCGGAGTGTACAGTGGCCAAAACGTCGTGAATAGGACAATAAAAATTAGGACAACAGTCCGAACAATGTAAGTAAATAGTTACAATACCTCATTTCAGAAATCCTGACGAAAGCTAGAGCATACATTGGCCGAAACGTAAATATGACAATAAAGATGAGGACAACAGTCCGGACAATTTTTTTTTATAATGGTAAATATTTTTACATTTATAATGTAGGTATATTTGATGGACCTATTTTTTTTTTTAATCAGTTCACCCCGAGCAAGGCAATAAAGCCACTAAGACGCAAGGAGGTTACTGAGTGTGAGAGAATATGAAAAAAAGAAAAACATTATTAGAGAGAGAGAAGAGTAAAAGGACATGGATTCGACTTCGTGGGAGTAGTATGGTGGGTCCTGGTTGTAAAGTGAGAAATATGTCTTCCTACTATCAAGGCTGGAAAGTGAGGACTGCGTAACTACAAACCCATATATGGCAGCAGAACTCCATTTATGGTTTGATCAGACACTTGTAAAGAAAAAGTACAGCAAAAATATTTTCTGAAACGACAGAATGAGCCGAAAATCTTCCGGCATCTTTGGCAATAGATTAAATATGGGTTCCACTTGAGGTCCTGGAGTGAGCTTGAGTCCCAGTAGACTTTTGGAAGCAAGGAGATTCATTGAATAGGGAGCCACAATCGTTCTTCCTTCGTATACTATTATTGAGAAGAACATTCACTCGAACAACTTCTTCCCACGAACTGCCACCTTGTGGACTCAACTTCCAAGTGGTTGCTTTCCTAATCACTCATTAACTGCGCCTCTCACCTCTTACTCTTACCGCTCACACAACAAACTACTTCGGTATACCTCTACCTCGAGTGGCTCTTGGGTGATCAGCTGCAAGAGGTCATAGTAGAAATCAGCTGCAAGACTCCGATCATCTTGTTGATGGACGTTGACTTTTTTTGCGAGGAAGGGCGTTGTCTGCTGAGCAACCACCTTCGAGTGGAGGACTAGAGCTGTGTCATCTACCAAAAGGAACTCACAACATCATGGTCGTGGAGACGTTTCATGATCACTTCAGGTTAAACAGAGTGTCGCTTTTACATGTAAAGAAATACATTCTGCTTATATCAGCCATCGCTTCGGTTGCCTGTTTCACCATCAACTTACTTCTTGAATTATCAGTTATATTTGATTCACGAACACAGGAACTGAATGTATTTCTTGTATGGTTTTGAATATTGATAATCAGGATCAGATTTCTTTCTTGTTCTTCAATAGCCGGCATTTCTCAGAGAGAGAAAGAGAAAGAAAGAGAAAGAGAGAGCGATTAAGAGCAGTAGAGAAGAATAGGAACACAGAGAGAAAGAAACAGAATGAGAAAAGCCCAGAACAAGACGAGTGAGAATGGGAAAAACAAAGAAGGATAGAAAGGGACATAGACAGAACAAATCATCTTGAAGGAGAATAAACTAGAGAAGTAGAAGGAAAAACCGAGGGAGAGAGAAAGAGGGCACGCGGGAGAGATAAATAGAAAGAGGAAAAAATACAGAGATAGAAATGAAAAAGTAGAGAGAGAGAGAGAGAGTAAAAGAAAAAGAGAGAAACGAGGGAGATAAATATTGAACGAAAAGTAAGTAAAAATAAAGAGGGCGAAAAAGATAAAACGAGAGAGAGAGAGAGATCAAGAGAGAAAGAGAGATTTTAGACTGTGAAAGAGAAAGAAATAAAGAAAAAAAAAGCAGGGAAAAACTAGAGAGAGGAATAATAAAAGAGAGAGAGAAAAAGAAGAGAAATTGAGAGAAGGGAAAGAAAGGGAAAGAGATAACATTTTAGAGAAATATATCTAGAGAGAGAAAAGCAGAAAAATGAGAGGGAAAAAGAGAGCGGGAAAAACAGCGTGAGAGCAAGCGAGAGAGAGAGAGGGGGGAGAGTAATCACTGCAGTTTTCTACAGGGCGGAAAGATGTTTTGGGATTTCAAGCTGAATTGGTTTTGTTTCATAAAACAATATGTTACTATGGAAACGAAAACAGAAAATTCAAAGAAAAATCTAATTCAGTGACGTCACAATAAGAACGACTTTTATATTTTTTTTTTTTTGTCTTTTTTCTCAAGCAAATTTTTTATAATTTCTCCTTTTGTTCTTAACGCGTTTCGTGATTTTTCGTATCTTTCTTTTCCTTTCGTCATTCTTCGGATTTTCTTGCAGCGAACTTCTTTTATTTTCTGAC